TCCTCGGACTTCCTGTTCTGTGCCTCGGCCCTGATCCTGTCCAGCTCCTGGGTCAGAGCCAGACAGCTTTCCTCTGAACCAACAGCCCTCTCCTCCGCCGCAGAGAGCCGCTGCGTCTGCTCTGTGATCCTCCCCTCAGCGTCGGCAAGGGCAGCACTTAGCTTTTCAGCGCTGACCTTAGCCAACTCGGCATCCTTGAGGAGTTGCTCGATTTGAGCAGCCTGCCCGGCGAGGGTGGAATCCCTGGCAGCTACGTCCTCCTTAGCACTGGCGAGGGCCCCCTCCGCTTCTTCCTTCTGCTCTCGGACCCGGTGGAGGTCCATCCTAGCCCCATGATACCGCGCCGCTATTATGGAGATCTGTTGGGTGGCCTGCAAAGGAAAAAGGCACGTCACTAAAAAGAAAAGCGGCTAAAAAAAAAAAAGAAGAGACTGAAGCAAAGATGAAACTTACCACCAGGGAATTCTGGATGATAGAGCGAAACAACACGTTCGTTGATCGCCCCCTGTGAGCCACCATGTCGGCCTCGAAATGCAGCGTCTCACTCACTGCATTGGCGACATGGGGGTCCTGCAAAATGGAGTCGTCGACCCTGATCACTCGGTTCATGTGATCAGTGGCTCGAGGATTCCACTCCGCGGCTTCCACTGTCGGCGGAAGGGGAGGAGGAGTCTGCTGTTGCCGCTGTTGCTGTTGTTGCTGTGTTGCTGCTGTTGCTGTTGTTGCTGAGGAGCAGGAGGTAACCCACGGCCTCTCCCACTTTGCTGCTGAGCGGAGGGTGCCCTGGATCCCCTGCCAAGGCCATCGTGCCTATGTTTGACCCTTCTCTCCTCCTCTACCTGAGGATCCCGGTCACGCACTTGCCCCCGACTGACGACTCTTGAGGATGGGGTGGTGCTGGTCCCTGCAGATGGGGCCCCACCGGCCGATCCTCGTCCCCTCCCGGCAGCAAGGGCTTGCCTCTGCCTCAGGAACCCCAGATCAATGCGAGGCGTGCTGGACATGGCTATCTCGAGGGCGTCTTCGGCGTCTAGAGATTGTAAAATTTGGAAGTCTGGCCACGAATCTCTCCCCGAAGTCCCCACCTCGGCGGGCGAAGGAACCAAGTCCTCTCTGACCCCGAGCGCTTCAACTTCACCCTCTACTTCTGCCTCCGAAGCCCGGTCAGGGTCTTCCTCCAAATTCTCCTCGCCCTCTTGTCCCACCGCCTGATCAAAGAGTTCAGACCACCGCGAAGGCTCGAAAGGCTGGGGAAGCTGTGAAAACTTCTTATATCCGGGAGTGTAATTCAGGAGGATGTGGGCAGCCCGGCCGAACCCGTCGTCACCAGTAAATCTCCAAATTGTGACTAGGTCGGCAAAGTTCACCAACGACCGAGGGGGAGGAGCTGTTTCCCGAGCAGGGACGTCTGCACAAACAAAAAAGGAGTCATGAACATAGAAAATCTCAAAGAACAAAATAATAGACCCGAAGGAACCGACGTACTTGTCGTTCTCCATTCCAAAGGGCATAACAAGCCGTTATACTCGGGACCGACACCTCTCTGCCAAGATCCCTTGAAATAAGTATGTCATCCTTGTACCCCTTGTCCGAGTCGGGAAGGTGAGTTACGAGGTACATAGATGGGTCCCTGGCTTTGAGGTAGAAGTGTTGTTGAGGCATGACTCTCAAGAGGGAATAGCAAAAAAGGATATCATTCAGTCCAACATTCACCCCGAGACGCCTATTAAGCTCTAGGACCCCCATAATTATCCTGAAGACATTAAGGCAACACTGCCCGGGGAAGAGGTGGAAATGGGAGAGGAACTGGAGAAGTAGAGGGGGCAAAGGGAATCTAATTCCGCCTTCTATGATGGCTTTGGTATAAAAGGGCATTGCACCCTCGGTACCGAGGGCACGAGGGTGCACAGCCGGGTTATAATCCTCTATGTCTACATACTGTGGGATGTTGTACTTGACCTTAAACCTATTAATTTGCTCACTACCCTTTACTTTATATTTCCCTGACCCCGAAGAACTGGCCTGAGGATTCTCGGGGGCAGGGCGACGACGAGGCATCTCGAAGAAAGTGAGAAAAAGTGGAGGATATTTTTTCCTTAAAGGTCCCCAAGGAAGCTTCCCGAGGATTGGTCGCTAAGTGGCAACCAGAGACACCTCCAGTTATCGAAAAACCAAAAGGGACAGAAGGACGAAGAAAGGAAAGATACTGGGACTCACCAGAATGTAAAAAGAAGTTTTTTCTGGGAAATTTGAAGCGACTCCTTCCAGAATGTTTCAGAAGCAAGGATGGGTCTGCTGGCCTTAAAACTCCGGTGAAATGGTTGGACAGTTGACAACGGAAGGAAAGGGATCTCCGGCGAAGTCTCCGGCAAGGGCTCTGTGAAGAAAAGTTCAGAACGATGAAATGAGAAAAGAAGAGAGGAAGCCCATTTATATATAGCACCTATCCCATCATTGGGCGCGAAGCACGAAAAGGCGCATTTAATGCGCACGACGTCCTAAGCAGGGAAAAACGGCTAGAAGCAATGATAAAGCAGTTGGGGTTGTTGTAAAACCCTTCGTCTCCTTACGACGCGTGTCCTCGGTGTCAGAAGATCGAAGGCTGGGGGCAGTTGATGGGACATTTCTGAAATACTCCGAGATGAAGACACGTGTCCTCGATGTCATTAATCCTTGTTACCGAGATCACGTACCCATCGGGTCACAAGTCCCCTCTCCCCCGAGGTACTGATCATGGGGATCGAGTGGCATCCAGTACGTTTTTATGTACCGACACGTACCCTCGGTCTGATATGGTACATCGGTCGCTAGGCCTCCCCCTCTCGGCTTCAAGATGTACCTATTCCTCGGCTCCGAGATGTACCTATTCCTCAGCTCTGAGATGTACCTCTTCTTGGGTACCGAGATGTACCCCCCTCGTCCAGGATGCTGTTCTCTGCTCCAGCAGAGGCTATTGATGCACTGGTCACTAGCCTAGGCTAGACTAGGTTAGCTATCATGACCTCGTCTTACACAATTGGTGTCAGAAGGCACAGGAAGGCAGGGGCCACAGCCAATGGGGAATGGACGCGTGGCATATTGTGTCACATCAGAGACAGAAAGACCGCATGACCTTGCTGACACGCGACTTGGGAAAACAAGCATTTAATTACATCATTCGCTTGATGAGACTGCATTCAATGCGATAAGGCTCAGAAGTGAAAGGCAATAAATGTCTCTAAGGCTGGACATTTATTGCATCCTCCCCGAGAGGAGCTCATTGAACCGTCGGCAGGCCGATGACACAGTCTTGATTGCTCGGGGTCCCGAGCAGTTAAAAGAGAAGACATTCCTCATAGGAATCAGTGCGCACGTTGCCTGTATCTAATGATCACCTACTGACCACACTGACATCAATCATGAGTATTTGAGGTATAAATACTCTTCACTAAAGGCAAGGAAAGGAGGTGAAACTTTTGCTACAAATTATACTCAGTGTTTTCTTCTTCCTCTCTCTCAAAAATTGACTTGATCGTCGGAGGGGATACGCCGGAAAACACTCCGGCGCCCTTCTAACTTGTTTTTCTTTGTTTCAGGAACCTTTCTTCAGCCTTACTGGATCGTTCCTTTGATCCGCGAGAATCTCCCATTACCGTTACAAGTTACCACCAGATCTCACAGGCTGTTCCAAACAGCGTGGTTAACCACTCAACTGACTCACTCGAGTTTACCAAGAGAGAGATCTGTTCTCGCTTTTATATTGTGCAAGATCTAACACGCACACACTGTATTTTTTTGAAATTTGAAAAGGATGAAGATAAAGAATAAATAATTTTTTGACTTGCAATCAAAGAACTAATAGCATACTTATGAATAGGAAGAAGACAATGATCAATGCATATGCCACTTCTCTCAGAGCACAGCTTCTTGCATGAAAGTGACGAACAAATACACACCCACACATGAGAATATTAGCGTGAAGCCATGAGTGTATGACCTATCTGGAACATGAGCGTATGAACAGTAGAGTGAGAATTATTTATGTATAGGGTATATCTAGTGGGGTGAAAATTGTGTATTTAATAGTTTAACGGGGTGGATAGAGATGTAGTGCGTTTAGTTTTTAATGGGATGTGTATAGATAAAGTGAGTTTAGTAGTTTAAAATTGAAAAATTGAATGTGGTTGAAAAGGATATTGCACCAGTGAACCCCGCAATAATAAAAATTAAACAACTTAATGATAAATGGAGTTATTTATGATAAATCTTTAACTCTCTCACAATTGGAGTTAGATTAATGTTTCAATAATGTTATTTGAATCTAATTTACTTATATAATTTACTAACCTAATTCATCACAACTATTAGGCCACTGGCAATTGAATTATCATGAATAATTAGGCCAATAAATTAGTTTTATAAATTAGTCCAAGTAGTATTGCTCTAAAACAAAAGAACTTACAGAAGACCCAGTTATTCATTACACAAACATTACACAAATGTTTAGCCCCTACGACCATACCATGATTATAACTCTAGGAAACTTTTATTTTACACTAATGCTATTAGGACAAATGAACATACAGAAGACCAAGTTATTCATTACACAAACAGTATACAAATGTTTAGCCTCTACCACATGTCATGATTATAACTCCATGAAACTTCTATTTAAAATAATGTTATTGGAATATAATTGAGGGAAATAATTTAGAAATATAATAAATTATGATCGATGAATTAATAGTGGAATGCATTTCACTATAATACATTGATCACCATACATTATGTCTCTAATTATATCTATAAATTATATTTCAATAACATTACTGTTTATTTTATAATCACTTGTATGTTTTTTTTTCCCCTCTCTTGTGTCCCTTGCCGATACTTAGAAGAAGCATTGGGAGAGCACACATCAAACTTAACCCATCACCTTCGTTTCATATGAGAATTCACCACGTTCTTCAAGCAATCTAGCTGCATATAAACATGCATGGCGAGCCTATCAGAATTGCTAATTAAGCTGTATTGGCCTTACTGGACCCCTTCTTTCTACTTCTATTCTTGTTACCAGTTGGAATATTGTTGTTGCTAGCCCCACAGACGATGGTGAACTCAAACCCGTATGCATTGCCAAAGCACGAAAACAACCCTCCTCCATCCGAGTGCCGCCGTGAATGAGCACTAACTGGCTGAGGTTTCTCTCCACGACGACCATACCTTGGTGGCACAACCGTCCTCCACCTCTCAATATCTGTTTTCAACCCTTTGGCCTTAGCTTCTTCCACCGTCAGCTCCTCCAATATTGAATTCCCCACTTCATTTACCTCTCCCCTTATATGCAAGCCCTTCGACGTTGACGCCACCTGAGCATATGACCCTTTTGCAATTTCTGCTGCCACAATTGACGCCGATGGTCCAACGTCGGAGCACAGTTCTAAATCGTTACATGTTGACCCGTTTATTATCGACCCGTTGCATATTGACCCAGATTTCATAGGGAATTCTTCATGGGTTATATCGGTGCCTAAACTCAAAGACCTCCAGAATTGGATTTTTTCATTTATTTGCTGCACTTTCTTCTCCTCTTGATTGTCTTCATTCTCCTGAAGACTCTGTATATTAAACTTTTTTTCCCATTTCAACATCAAGAGGCATACTTCTCCTGGTGCTGTCGAGAAGCAAAACACCCATGTTGAGTATTCCTTGAGGACAACCAGATGGTCGGCGAATCTGGAGCGCAAGAAATCTGATGCCGGAGTCGTTTTGTGGCCGAGCCGCTGACGAAATGAGATTATGGATCAGAACGTGCACAGTTCCGACCAGGACATGGCGGAGCCACGAGATTGTGTAGATCTCGACGGTGATTGCCGAGGTATCAGAGCAGAGGAATTCATCGTCGACACGAAACGCAAACTTTTCGTTCCAAGCAGGGTTAATGTGGCCTTTTTGATCGATGGGCGTAGTTAACTTGCGATTGGGATCGATCCATCCGACCGCGTAGGTTCGCATGGATTTGGATACGGGTGCAAGGTCTTGGGCCGACACGAGACTGATCTCAAGGATGCGGAAGGGAAGAGACTGATGAGAAACTGAAGAGGTGGTAACGGTGGAGGAAGCAGGCGGTGTTGGGATGGTGGGGCCCATTTCGCCGTCCGCGGTAGGGACGACGCAACAGGGGCTGGCATCAACAGAGGAGGAAGGGAGAATGTGAGTCCATTGTTCATTTGGGTGTTGAAGGTGGCGGGATGTTAGGGAAGTTCGTTTCGTATGATATATTTGGACCACGATTTTTCCGCGATGCATTGTGTCAACGGATGGGGTTATTCTATAGGATTTTTCATATTTTGTATGTCGAAAGATATTTCGATTCATATTTTGCACTTAAATTTTTTTTTTTTTATATTACACCTTAAATGTTATAAATTAGTTTCAATGTAGCTCTATAACTAACATCTGCTTCAAATTTCATTAAAAATTAATGCATATGCCGCGGAACAATATGAATAATGAATTTATATTTTTGTCCAAGAACAACATATGAGAATGACATATGCATCAATTTTTAACAAAATTTAAAACAGATGCTAGTCTGAGAGCCACATTAAAACCAATTAATGAAATCCAGGGTATTACGTGAAAAAAATAATCTTTCAGAATGCAAAGTAGAAATCAACACATTTTTGGGGTTCAAAGTGCCAAAAACCCTATTCTATATTGGGTGATTTTATTCCCGGCCTATAAATATTTTATTTTAGGAGATTTCACGAGAGGTACACAGTCATGTATTTTTAAGATAAGAGATTCAACTTGAACACTTTTAAAGTAAGAGATCTATTAAATTCGCAATTGACAAAAATACCTTTAATGAAGGAAGCTATTTAAAAAACTTTCACCATATCTCAACACCACCATCCATCACCACCGATAGTAAACTCTATGACAATGAACTCAAAGATAGCGAACTAAAAACACTACCGGCCTCTATTTTTCTAAAACGATTGTTTGATATGTAGAATTTAAATGAGATTTAATTGTGTTTTATGAAATTTTTAATAGATCTTTTTTTAGATTGATGAATTTTAGATGATTATCCTGGTTTGATTTTGTGAACTAATACAGTGAACCAAAAGAAAAGACCATTGTCCCAAAGAGAAGAAAAAGAATCTGTAGATCAATAACAGCATACGCTTGATCAAGAGTTATTACTCTAATTCTAAAGATGACCATGAGCATATCCCCAAGCAGGGATCCTGCAGTTCTTCCAATAGGCAAGAACGGGACAACGGGGAAAACTACCAACACCCAGAAGAAACCAAGGGCAATTGAAGAACCACTTTCACAATAGGAGCCATAGCCATCTTTTACCACTTAATAAAGACTAAAACTCTTCGACAGAAGGAAAATTGTCAAATAAACATTACTAAGGCATATGAAGTACGAAAAACAACACAAGTACTACAAGATCATCGCATCCATTCCATTGGGCCAAGCTTTCCATGAATTTCAAGATTCTAAATGATAACAATTAATAGAATTTAACCCATCATATGAGTATCATACGCAGTACAAAACATCTGCATTCAATTCCCATCGAACCCCAAAAGCGAGGTATTAAAGCCAGTGAATAAGTGATTACAGCCAGTTAAACCGCTAAATTTGCTCAAGTGACTCAATACCGGAATCAAAGGATCTCATCAATTGGCATTGCCAGTTGAGTTTGTGTTGGAGATTAATCGAATGGGAAATAAAAGAGAATTGCAAGAAATAGCAGCAAGGAGAGGAAATTCCATCTTCGAAGAGCGAAAATAATCCGACAAGTGTTGCTAATTTATGCTTTGGAAGCTCTAAACATCTGGATGACTTGGAGGATGACGTCGGCAGAGAAAGAATGCTGTTTTTGGGGTTTTAATATTCATATTCACATGGGGGCATTCTGATAATAAATAAAAAATGATATAATTAGTTTGGACCGGAGAACAAAAAGGTTCAATTGAACTGTGTCTTACACCTTGGAAAATATAGGCTTGAAGTTATTGAAAAATTAGGTATCGAATTTGTAGTTTTGAACCATTCACTTATTTTTATCCCATTAAAATTTTTACTATTAAATTATTAAGTTCTTCTTTTTTATACTTGCTCTATTATTAATTGATGATACCTACAGAAAATACACAGTTCAAACAGGTCTGTAGCACAACTGATAGATCGGATGACTTGACCCATTAAGATCCAGGTCAGTCAAGGCATGAGTCTGCTCCTACCAAGGCAGTTCAGTAGCCATTGAAGTAGCTCGACTTACTTTGGAAAAAGGATAGAAGAGGAAGTACAATATCAAATCTTACAAGGTAAGAAGTCACCATCTCTAGAATGCCATGACACGACTTCTAGAATGCTACATTATACCTAGGGGAGATACCTTCTGACGACCAAATATTCTGACAAACTATAGGACCAAACGATCATTGCTTGAGGACCAAATTACCCTAGTGTATCAATTTGCAGGCCCTTGCCTTGCTACAAGATATAGGCAATGGTATTCTCAAGTGTGTAAATATTTTCTTCCCTAAGTAATACAAATCAGAAGAACAAGAGCCTCCATTTTAGTGGACTAGTCTAACTTTCAACTTGGTGAACCACTTATTTTCTTGTGTTCTTGTTTATTGTTACATTGTTCAAACACACACAACTCATTCATTAACTCATAGACCTCGTCTAGCTCTCACAGTTCATACTTCTCAATTTCGTATGCTATCAGTTTGACGCCATCTGTGGGAATGATTGTCATCGTTTTATCTCAAATCCTTCCTATTTGATTAATGGTTCTCATTAAAAGAATGAGCCAAAATCCAGAACATCATCAATGAGTACCGGCACCCCCAGCTCCTACTTCCAATTCACCTTTAGTGGAGGAGCCAAAGACTTACCAGTTACAGGAGGGGGAACCCGATATAGATCTTCCCTTACAATTATACACGTAGAGACCAAGACACTATACCTAAAGGTGAGGTTGAATAGGTTTTTCAATATTAGTCCAAACTGATTACAAATTAAAACCTATGTCTACCACAATTACCTTTTCCATAAAGATGAAGTAATGAATGTGAGAATCCCTTTAGCCACCACAACACTTAACACACATAATGATTGATTAAATTATTATTCAATTTAATTCATTCTTAATCAATCTCACATCAATCCCAAATTCCCAAACCCAATTGCACAACTATGAATGATATAATATCAAATAATCAAAATATTAAATAGATAGTGCACATGTGTGCTAACAAATGAAAGTGTGTACAATAATAATAAGAGACACAAGCAATTTGTTAACGCGAAAAACCCTCATTGGGAAAAATCGAGGAAACCTCGATGGGTTCACCAAAACCTAATCCACTACTCTCCAAGTCAACATACAAGTACTCGAGAGTTATACCTCAACCAATACCATGGTAAGACGGCCCTTTCCTTGCAATGTCTTTCCGCCAAAACTCTCTCTCTGACGTTTGGTGTAGCTTCACTTAGATCTATCCGCCGCATGGTTTGTCTAGGCCTCGAGCAATTATGGGCATGATAACTATCATCAATATGAACACACAAATGAGTCTGTTTAACTAACAAGTTCTTCAACACCAATGGGTTTATTCAACCAATAAGTTCTTTAATATCAATTTGTGAGGTTGGGTATAATCACTAGTGGTAGCCTTTGAAAATTAGGGACTTAGGTTGTGGTGGAAGCTCTCAAGGTATACAAATAGTTTTCTCTCTTAGAAATCTCACAAGAGGCTTAACCTAGGTTTGGGAAAGGCATCCCCTATTTATAGGTTTGAAATAAGTGTAGCCTTATTAAATAAGAAAACTCATATTCGTGAATGTCCACTCTTGTGGGAGCGGTTGACACTGGAGTAAGAAATAACATCTCAAACAAGCCAAGGACCAGGACCGCTCGAGCGACCATGGGCACTGCTCAAGTGACCATGAGACCGCTCTAGCGAGCTCATAGTGCGAGCCCTGTGCTAATCCCCTATGGCCTTTTACCTTTTTATCCTAAGTCGTCAAGAGACTACTCTATTGAAGGTTAGCGAGTTTAGGTTGGTCCCTACAGGTTTTTAAGCCTAAAAGTATGCAAAAACTTGTCCTTCTGAGCACTAAAGGGTGTTTCTCAAAGAGGGTCCGATAGTGACTCAAACTTTGCTTTCAAAACTCATAAATGATTTAGAAAATTTTTTCTTTTAAAATCACCTAGGATTTATAATCAGATTGTTTTCAATTCCATTTTCATCATAATCAATCTAAGTTAAAATAACTAAAGGTTCATCTTAGGTGTCTAGGTCATTACCTTTGTTCTAAGCATGAAGGTACGTACAGAGGTTTAATGATATAGTTTTGACGCTTGATCTCCTCCCTTCAATGATGCTTTTCAGAACTTGAACTTGATATCATCATGACTGTAGAAATGATTGAGATTTTAAAATGGACTCCATAAAATTATTCAATTAAAAATACATGATCTAACAATCTCCCCTTTTGGCAATTTTGTGACAAAACACACAAGTTTGAAATAAAGATAACAACTCCAAACCATTGAACAAAAAAATTGCAAATCTAATCTCAACACTCATGTATACATCATAAATTATCTAGTACAAGGATTTATATTGGATGAAGCTTGAAGATCATAGTCTTGTACATCACCACTCAAATCAAAATTTTGTGAAACGCATTATATGTTAGATAAATAAATCGCATAATCATAGGAATGAAAACCACCAAGAGAAGCTTAAGGCATAAGTATGTATACATATCATGCAAGTGCATATATGTAACATGTTTGAACTAATTTGTCCCATATGCTTGAGAACTAATTGATTTGTTTCCCCCTTAGTTGGTGTTCATAAATAAAATAACAAGTAAAAAATAAACAAGAAAAAAATGTGACTTCTTGCCAAGTTTGCAAATTTACCCCCTGAGTATTTGAACTAAAACTCCCTCTTTTTATGTTCACGTACAACATATCTAGCCTAGTCAAGGGAAAATCTCTCCACTTACTCTCGTATGTACCTAAAATATTTTCTACCTTTTTGTCACAAATGCCAACCCAATGACAAATGCAACAAGCACGGTATAGAATCAAGTCACCTTACATATTCCTATCTTATTTGCCATAGATGTCAATCCAATGACGATTCCTAACAATTATGATATAGAATCATAGTCTAACAAGAATGTATGAAAGCATAGCAACTAGCCAAATTATGCACATAGACTAAGTAAGGGACAAATAAGCCATATAACTCAATGAT